GGGAATTCAGGTAACACTTAACAAATAATTCTTACCTGTAAAGTTATGATTCCAGAGCCCAAAGCTGGACTATTTCTTCATCAAAAGATGCAGTTTCAGTACATTTTAATGGAAGGAAGCAAAACCCTCTTGACACCTAGGGTGGTGGAAGGATAACTTATTCTCAAAGGGAGGAGGATCATATTTGTACTATTTCATTTAATTTTGATCCTGATGTCCACTGCATTATTCGAGAATAAATGGCTTCTGATATGCTGACTGGGACTGAACTTTACAGAATGCCATGTAGTTTTTAATTTGTGGAGTTCTGTCCAGCATCAGTATTGTCACTGTGCAATGAGCAAATAATTTAGCTTTAATCAACTGGTATCAATCCACACATGCACAAACAAAGGATGAACAAAGCCATCTATTCTCTCTGATTGGAGTGAGGTATTTCAGGGCTACTGAACTGATCTGACTGAGCCTGATTTGCATTCAATAAGATTGTTAATTTCTTTCTGGTTCCACTCCATTCTTTTAACTGCTGTCAAAGGAAAGCTTTTCTGATTCTAAATGATGGAAAACTGCATTCTACACAATGGAGTATTGTGAAGTCAAAAGAGCAAATCCAGTAAAACAAGTAGCAATCTTATGAACAAGAAGAGTGTGTGTGTGGGGGGGGGTAAAATAAAGATATTGTAACTTTATAAAAATTGTTTGGATAGGATTGCAATATCTGGGCTGCCAAAATACAGGCAACTATTAAATAGCAACAAAGGTAAGAAAACTTGTTTTGTTCTCATGTAATGGTTACCTAGATTATGGTAATCCTAACCTTGGGGTCACTTGGGTTTTCCAGTGAAACAAAGGAGAGGCAGTGGGAATCAAATATTTTTTGTTGTTGTTGTCAGTCTTAATGGTAGTGGTAAACTGGGATGACATGATAGCAGTTTCAGTACTTGAGAGGTTATCACAGAGAAGGGGGGGGGGTCAATGTATTTTCCATAGCACCTGAGAGCATAATAAGAAGTAACAGATGTAAACTTATCAAAGAGGGATCCAGCCTAGAACTAAGGAGAAATTTCCTGACAATGAGAACAATTAAGCAGTGGAACGGCTTGCCTGTAGAGGTTTTGGGTGCTCCATCACCAGAAGTTTTTAAGAAGAGATTGGACAACCATTTATTCAGAATTGTATAGGTTCTCCTCAGTGGTGGGAGTCAAATGAACAACCAGTTCTCTGTGTGGATGCCGTTTCCGGAAGTCCATTCTGGGACTGGGCAACAAAAAATTAGCTACTGGTTCTGCCAAAATGGTGCGAACTGGCTGAATCCCACCACTGGCTCTCCTGCTTGAGCAGGGAGTAGACGACCTCGAAGATCCCTTCCAACTCCGTTATTCTGGTAGCCCTCCTTTCTTGGACCCTTTCTGTGTAGTTTTTCTCCAGCTTCATTGATCTCATAAGCACTTCAGTAAAACAGTAGTGCATCAGACAATGTGTTAGATTAATTGGTTTATGGGAAAGAATCAGGTAACATGCATTATTTCATTAATTTCAACATGGAATGGAGCAGCCTTGCTCAGTTTCAGGCCTCTTTTGTTCATTATTCCAAATCAGGCCTTCCTGGTAGCACCAGTGAACGTCTGCAAAGAACGCGAGTCACAAGCCTTGCACAAGCCTCTCATTTTCTCATCCTTTTTATAGATACGTTATATGCTGAAAAAGAACAATCCAGCATGAGTTATAGCTGCATCACCACGTTATTATCAAAATGTCTTTACAAATAAGGACCAGAATGCTGCAGATTTTGTGTGAAAATCCACACTGGGAATGTTTACTGGTTACATTAAAGGACAGATACACAAACCCAAATTAGCTTTTCTCGCTTTCAACAACTGATGCAACATCCTATTCAGCAATTACACTGGAGAGATCAACATGAGGTTTTGCAGCGTTGATAAACGTTGTCTAAAAATCTGTACTCCTGACAGGAAGGTAAAGAGATTGCTTCAAAACTGAGGAAGGGAAACTCCAGTATCTGGAAGATATCAAGACACTGATTAATTTTCAACAGTGACGTTTAAGTGTTGCTAAAAGCATCTTCGCACCTTTTTTCATTTTTCAATAGGTCTTGACACAGAATTTAAAGATATATGTATTTTTTGAAATCTTTTCCCCCCTTTGAACATCCATTATAAAACAACTATGATACTACAGATATTATAGTTCCTCCCCCCCTTTTTGGAGCATAATTGCATTTTGAAGGTCTTCTCAAAAATTTGAGTGGCTGATTATAAGCAAAGAAATATATAATTCACTTCTGAGTCTCCTTCACAAGCAATAATCACATCCCTTATACATATTGATGAAAATCTCTGATCTCTTCATTGCCAGATGGTCCAATAATTATTAGTATTGAACTTTTATTTTATTTTCCTCTTTTGCCCTCATAACAGCTAGGCAACATTGTTCCAGTACCTGACAAAAAGAGATCTTCCCTCCAAGGACTTATTCTTGTGCAACTCAAGACAAATATTGCAACTTTCCAAAACTATTAGGAAGGAAAAGAGATGCTGGTAGGAAGCGATTTTTCAGAGAAGTCGGTCCTCATGACTTGGATAAAGCATCACTTTTGTCCATGGTTTGCTGGATAAACCATGTTTGGCCGGCTTTGTACACTGCACTAAACCAAAAACTAATATTTACAAACAACATTGAATTAACCTAGCCTCTGTATTGGGTGTTAACTTTTTCTGCATTAATTTTATGCTCCAAAGATCTATCAGATGCTCAAAGGCTTGGTGGAGCCTTTTTTTTCTCTCTATAATCCCTAATATGAAATGCAAAAAATATGAAGTATGGGACTTACGTTATGTCCTAAACTTCTCCATTCTGCTATGCAATATATATACATATGTTTTCTGAGGTTTTTGCGGGTGTTGGAAGTGTCTTGGCGACGTTTCGACGAAGTCCCATTCGTCATCTTCAGGCTGGTGTTTTCAGCTTCATGCTTTGAGCAGCTCAAAGCACGAAGCTGAAAACACCAGCCTGAAGATGACGAATGGGACTTCGTCGAAACGTCGCCAAGACACTTCCAATTTTACGCGGGAGAAAACCCAAACAACCAAAGACCTACATACAAATACCCGCGAAAACCTCAGAAAATATATATATATATATAAAAAATAGAAATATTTTGGTAGCAAGGTCAATTTAAAATATTGGCATTAATATTGAACATTTGAGATTTGGTTATTTAATGGATGGGATTTAAGACTGACTGTTCTTTAATATACCATTAAGACTTATAATGGCAACTAGTCTTTACTTCATTTTAGGACAGCAAATTAAGACAAGCAATCAGGAAGTGGTGTCCTCCATCTTCTTAATATAACTCCATTTTGTCCTCTGAGGAATTTGCCTCACTTTACTTAAATGCGAATGGCCCCAGCAATGTTTATATTTAAATAGATTTCAATAGTAACAGTGGTTACCAGAAGTTACTAATGATGCAAACTTCATATACAAGCAAGCAGGTGGTGTGTATGGAATTTTATCACCCTGGTAATACATATGGGAATATATAAGGTTAAAAACAAAATTAAGGATTTTGGGTAGCCAACATATTTATAATGTAAATTGGCTATATTAACTGTGTAGTTTGAAATCTCTACAATATAACACAATAATTTATATAAAACCATATTTAATATACAACAAACTTCCACCACATAAACACATTTTATAAACATATTATAATTCCAATTACAGATTTTCATAAAAACATTTTCATATCAAGAATCTTAATACAGAATGATTTATTTCTATGTCAAAATACATTTACAGTGTAAATTGTCTGTAGAAAAAAGACACAGAGAAATGGAGTTTGCTGGTATTTAATTCAAGAGTAGAAACTTCTCTTATTTATTTCATGTTCAGTTTTAAAACATCACCTGAAATGATGAACCCAAGATATTTTGCTCTTATCCAAAGCAGAAAAGCAGGAAAAAACAAATAATATTTGCCTTGTTTTCAGGGCATCATGAATGGGCACAGAATGGCACTTTGCCAAGGCTCTCCTGGCAAGGCCACGAGTCGTGCTAGGAAAGACACTCCAGTTTGAGTGACTGTGAAATCTGAGCCCTTATTTTGTTATATACATAAAATACAAAACCCAGTGAGGGAAAAAATCCACATAAAAACACATATAAAGATTGATCATACAGTTTTATTAGGTCAATGTGTTCTTTTAGTTGGCATTTTTTCCCAATGGAGAAGAAAAAAAAAAGAGAGAGAGAGAAGAGACATTGGAGTGGACTGTTTTCAACCCTGAGCGTTTTAACACTGCATATCAAGTACTGTAGTAAAGAAGCTGGTTAAGAATGTAGCACACTAGCACAAGTGAATGATATTAATCCTCTAGGTGATCAGGTCTTTACAAAAAAAAAACAAAACATAGCTTTCAATAAATAATGCTTAACTGTACAACTTTGATACAGCAATGTCATACACTGTTTTGACACATACTAAACTCTGCATGCTATATAGTCTACTAGAAGACGAAACTCTGCCATGCATTTTCTTCTTTTCCTAGTGCTAGAAAACACTTTTGTCCTCCAGTGCATTGCCTCAAGCAAACCTTACTCTCTTCTTTCCCCCCTTCTCACAGAAATAGGCCTGTACACTGGCATGCAAAAACCTCCAAGGTTTCCCCCCCCACTACCGTCATCATTCAGACTTCTAAACAAGAATATTTTTCAACTTTCCTCTCCTCCCCTTATCTAGAATGGCTGTGAAAAACTACTTTTCAAGTGGCCTTCGAAAACTCTTTTGTCTTATTCTGAAATTACCGTAATTTTAAAAGTGTCAAGATAAAAAAAAAAACTGCACTAAGGCATTTGGTTTATTCCACCTGTGGCCTTCATGCAACATCACATAAATGTTGTAACCACCAAAATTCCCACACTGATGGAAAACTAAAACAGCCCAACAGAAAAAAACTGATGTTTTTTTTAAAAAAAGTATCATGGCATTTGTAGGCTCCATACTTCCAATATACTACAAGATTTAAAACCAGAAATTGCAAAAGAATGATAATGGTGCTAATATTCCTGACAACTGGGTTTGAAGATAAGCAGTAAGATGGAAAGAAAATTAAGCAATGAAACTGAGAGTTCCTGGATTAGAATTTATTACACCATCACATTAAAAATAAAAGTATTTCCAATCTTGTTGGAAAAACAGTGGATTCACTCCTACTGATAATATTATTTAGATATTCCACTGAAGTAATTAGGACATGCTAGCAGATAAATATTCTAAAATTAGTACATCCTAATTTCTTAAAAGCAAAATTTCCCAGAGAGCCTAATTTGAGTATGGCCCTTTAATTCACAGCAGAGAAATCTGGATATGAAAAAGGTGTGTGATGACTTAATAAAGACAGGGAACTCCATTTTCAAACTTTCAGGTTGTTAATGTGTCCATGAGAACCACCAACCCTATAATGAACTAGGAGTAGCTTTTATTCATAGAAGTCAGTCCTGTGAAACTGTTGTCCATCATCGTTTCTTAGATGTTGCAATAATTCTAGCTTTGCACTGGCATAATTATTGGGACTTTCTAGAAGAATCAATAACCAATTACAGTATTACTTTTATACATGAAATATTATGGACTTTTATTTCCCTTTTTGTAAGTCATTCTACACTTTCTGCACATTTGTGCTTTATACGGAATATAAAAATAGGCTTTTAAAACTCTGTTCACGTTTAAACTCACTAAAAAACTACTTGCTTGTGAAATTCTCTTAAAAATTCACTGCATCCATGAGGGGAGGTAAAAATCAAGTAGGCAGTTAATTGCTATAGGTAGTGTGTGGAAAGGAGGGGGAAATCACCCTCAAAGTATAGGTGTCTAAAGGGAAATAACAACATTTGTGGATGAAAAATAAATTAATTATTTATCTCTTGCAACTCTTCAAGAGCAAGGGGATGAGGCTGTAAAAAATAACCTTCCAATTTATTGGATAATCAAGGCCCAATTTAAAAATATTGACAAACGCAAATTAGAGTCAAACAAAATTCACCAAAGAAGTGCAGGATGAGGATCGTACCAGGCCATAGAAGAATATGTGACAAAGGTGGAGATATAGAACAGAGAGTTCTGTAGAGTAGGCTATCAAAGACTAATACAAGTCTTTAGTATCTGATTCTAATTTCACATTCAATAGTGACTGGAATAATTACAGTTTTATAACCAATTTACATTGGCATAAATGGCCATTAAGGCCATATAGGTTCAAATCACTTTCTGTAGACACTACACTAGGAAAAAGTTACCTTTTGCATGTATGGACATCTATATTTAGAGTAAATACAATTTTAAAAGACATTTTCATCAATCTATTTAATCTGTCATATATATTGTCCTTAAAGAATTAAACTTTCTTTTTAATTAGATCTTCTAACATTAGATAGGAAGTAGCCAGAAGGAAAGATACAAACTGGATTTCACCTTCCACAAAGTGTCTTTAAAAAAATCTTAGGTTGCTTTTTGAAATGTTATTCTATATGGATTACGATATTTTCATATATTAAAAGCTGACAATCTTTAAAACATTTTCTTATGCCCTTGAACAATGCATCTCCTCACCCAAGAAGATGAAAAGTGCTGAAGAGGAGGAGGAGACAAACAATGCAACAGCCCAAGAAATAAATCTATTTTATAAAAGTCTGCCTAAATGTACATGTGCAATTACAAGGAAGAGTTATGAGCATATATGTTATGATGAGAGAAAACATACAATATTCAGGCATTTTACTCAAAAACAGGCTGCATGATTTGAGTGCAACTTCTTAGTAAATGTACTTAGGACTGCAATACTGAATTTAGGACCACAGTCCACAAGTCTACCAATTAGAATTGTACTAATATTAGTAAGATATATCCCCCACTTACAATGGGAAAATAGATTTTTCACTAGATACATTTCCATTTCTGAATTTTTAAAAAAGATTATCTAACCAAGTTGACCAATTTTAATTTTCCAGATTAAACGTACAGTCCCCTTCCTTGTATATTGCACATTCTTAGATCTTATATACTGTGTGTTCCCGTTTCCAAATCATTATATGACTGACAAAATTCAGCTTTAGAAATATATTCAGCCTCCCATGTCACTAAAAGTAAATGTTCTGTTCAGTTGGAATATATCTTGTTTAGATGAGTTACACCCTTGTATCTTCACATAATAAACGTGAAAAGGAGGTTAAAATACAGTTCCTGTAGTCAATCCAGGCAGCTCCATAATTAAGGCAGACAGAGCTCCCCAATTCTTCAGCACACACAGACCCCTTTGCACTACCATTTTCACAAATTACAGAAGCTAGGAGACTAGCTCAAAGAATAAAAATATTTTGACTTCATGTAGCTAACAAAGATTAATTTTCTATGTCCAGTCTACAAAACTGGTGGTATTCAACTGCTGAAAATTAATTATCAGACTGCAGGGCACAGTTGTTTGTCTCATTTTCTCTCAGATAGTCCAATAAATTGTTTAAAAATATGTAAAGTCATTAACACATCCAAAATTTAAGAGACCCCCCCCCAAAAAAACCCACCTAAAATTCAAGGACTTGAGTTTTATTAGACTATTCCTAGCCGAAAATATGTTACGTGTTACATTAGCTTCTCCCCTAAAAGTTTTATCATGCCTTTGCACAATACAAAGACACAGACTGAAGTTTTGAGGTACACCATAATTTTTCAATCAAACAAAGCTTTAAACCAAACCACCTCTTTTAAAAAATAAAACAAAATAGGCCATGGTCTTTGCTTAAAGAGATAATTTTAAGCACTTTATTACCAGTTTAAATAACTAATTTAAAATTGATCTCTCACCAAAGATTTTTTTGATCAACAATCTATATTTAAAGGTTTTATTCTATTTATATCATACAACTATGTAGTAGACAGGTCTATCTTCAGCCAGCCTGGAAGCCTTTAAGCAGTGATTCCAAAAGTGAGCAGCTCAGTAAATTGCCTATAAAATATCATCAAACCAATTCTAACCCTGTTTACAGAAAAATAAGCCCTACTGATTCAAGCAGGACTTACTTTTCAACTCCAAATACAATCACAAGTAATTCAAGTCATTACTTGAAAGTAAAATAAACTGATCAGAGTTTCATGGAAAATGGCAATCACACTTACTTGGGATCACAATTGCTCACAACTGCAACTCCCAATCGTCTTAATTTTGAATAATGAGTTAGGACTGGTTGGATGATTTATTCACCATACTGACAAATGTACAATTGATTTATTATTTATTTAAAACAAACGGATAGCCTTCCAAAGCTTACCACAAATTATTCTTGTGACTAAATCTAGTTATAATCTTAATTTTCCCACTAAAGTTTAAGACTGAAATATTATTTAAAAAAAAAAAAGTTCACACCCCACCCCCACTCCAAGTGTCTGCCACAGTTCATCTTTCTTTCCCATTTCCTGTGCCTGAGGCCCAGATCTCAGTAAAGGAAAACAGAGCCTATTTCACTGGTAAAAAAGACTCCCAGCTGCTCTGGGACAAAGTAAGATGCCACTTTCCCCTGTGCAGAGCATCTTTCGTTAACTACAGAGTTTTCTTGCTCAGTTGAGGAAACAAAACAGAGTCCCTGGAAGGAAACAACTGCGCCCCAAAAGACGAACGGCCCCTAATGCTCTCGGGGCGCAATCAAAATCCCATCTTACAAAGAAAATAAGGCAGTGGCTGAGGTGGGATGAAGAAAAGCAGTATATCCGAGCTACCTATAACACGCCCTTTTCTCCCCAGTCTGTTCTATGGGGGGAAAAAAATAAGAAATCAATGCAAAGGCTTCTGGCTAAAACGTAGGTGGGGGAAGGGACGAGACGGAAAGCTGCCTCTATGAAAAATGAGAAAAGCCGTCAGCCGCCCTCCTCCTCCCTCCCCCCCCCGCTGAGAAGGTACCTCCCTTCACACAGAAGGCGGGGGGGAGAGGGGGGATGCTCGCACGGCCCTCTCCTAGCCTAGAAGCCTCCGCGCGCTCACTCACTCCCTCACTCAACCACACCGGCACGCGCGCCTCTCGGTGTCGCACGGTTTTCAACGTTTCGCTCGAAGCAGGGATGGAAAAAGAGAGAAGAGCCCCGCTCGTCACGAACTGAGAGCCGACGGTTATTGGCGTCGCGGCGAGTGAAAGAATATGATATGCATACACACACACACACACACACGGCTTGTCTTTCACATTTTATTCACGTCAACCTTTTTTTTTTTCTTCGTAATATTGGGAGTTGAAAATAGCGACTCTACACAAACACGCAGGCGGGCACGCCCCCTCTCCTCATTCAGTTCCTTTTCTTGGCTCGTCCACTGCGCGTTCCTGAGGCGGCGGCAGCTTTGGCAGACTAAAGCGAACCGCGGCGCTGCCCCACATGGTCAAGGCACGCCCCCTCGCAAAGCTCCGACCTGATGGCGAGCAAAGCCTTCGTGAAAGAGACACCTTCCCTCTCCCCCCCCCTCCTTTGCGTGGCTCAAGGGGAGCGCACCGACATCCCTGTCAGAGAAACGGCTGGGGTGGCGGGGCGTCAAACCAAGACGCCGGCGAGAAAAATAACCTAGTCCGGGGAAAAAAAAAACAAAACAACCAAGCTCTAAGCCTGTAAAAACACTCGGCTAAATCTTTAGCTTCAGCGGCATCCGCCTGCGCGCCCATCCTCGCGCACCGAGACAACTTGAAGGTGACCCAATCCCTCCTCCCCCACTGGGCACCTTACATCCAGCCAAGGTTGCTGCTACAGTCTCCCCCCCATACATACACACCCCACGGCCAAATCACGCTGGGTCCCAACCCTGGCATCCTTGCTGGCTTGGCACCCGCCGCTCGAAACGAAGGACCCGGAGGTACAGCCCTGGAACACGCCAGAATCGAAGCTCTCTCTCTCGCCCTTTATCCCGCCATTTTGCCCCCAATCGCCTTTTCCTGCACCACCCGACCAAAGATGGGGGAAGCGCACATCACGGGAGAGAAAGGGAAGAGGTATAAAAAAGATATCAGCCCTTTAAAGTCTATCTACCCTTTTCTCCCCAACCACCCCTCCCGCCCCCCATGAAGTCTCAGCTAGGAGGGTGAGGGAAGGCTTGGATACAAGGCATATCCAGAGGCATTGCTTCTGTAAAGGCTAATGTTGAATCGAATTTCTATCAGTTCCAGCTGATTTATTAAAACTGTCAAGATACAGACTTTCAGCATTTTTTTAAAAAAGACAATGTTGTTGACAGTGCACAAATCTGTTGTGTTGCCATCCTATGCTACAAAATATGCAGATGGTCTGTACTTGTAAGAATCATATTGCACAAAATGAGAAACTTTTACTATGTGCCTTTCTTTTTTCCCATTTCATTTTTTTTTAAATTTTCACTAAAAAAAAAGTTGAGAATCCAGTTTCATACCTTCCATCTGGGCCCCCATTCACATATCACAGCATATGAGATACATAAATTCCTACTATAGTACAGTACATATACAATCTTTTAAACTAAGATAACAGCTCTGAGGTCTATATCACCATTTTCAATAAATCTTTACCTACAAATATTGAACAAATCTGAACTATAGCTGTACAAAAAAGTGTTTTGTTTTGTTTTGTTTTTAAACCACAAGGCCTTTAGATACAAGGATTTTTTTTTAATCCTTTCAAAACCAGGACATAAACGTACCCATATAACTTGCATGCTAAAAACAGAGGAAAAAAATAAAAAAATAAAAGGGAAGAAGTGCCTGAAAAGTCTTACTGAAAAAACACAGCAAGAATGTTCCCTTTCACTGTACAAAAATACGCCTGAAAATATATTAATTTTTTAAAAAGACTGAGGTCTGTTATGTATCAAAAATGTTTCAATACCTTTGTGTACTGAGGTCTAGGCTGTCTGGTATTCAATCAAGGAGGTATAAGGGAACAAGTTACAAAAAAAAAAGTTGGCAAGTAGAAATCACATTTGTAAAACCATAAACAATTTGATCTGAAAAGTAAACTCTGATCTTAAGTCAGTTCACAGTTTTGTTTTGTAAGCGTTTGTACAGTCTGCATTTTTTTCAAGCTCCCTGCAGCTTTGTTAAGAATTGGATGCATAGAAGACATCAGTTTTCTCCCTCCAAACAAAAAGAGTTTGTAATGGTCCCTTTAAAAAAAAATAAAAAATCAGAACAGTCCTTAGAAATCTTTGTAGGAGAAACAAAAACAAAAATCCACAAACCCCCTTGAGTAACAGTTGTGCTGCCAAAAGACTTTTTTTTTGCAGACCACTTCCAGACTTGAATCACAAACTTCAAACAACGCCTTCTGAATCTTTTAACCCCCAGTCCCATTTGCCTTTTTTTCCTTGCTGCTACTGTTGTGATTACCAATTTTTTTAAAAAAAAAAAATCAGAAGGAAAAAAAAAATCACAACTCCGGACTCGGTTTGGAACTAACTTCAAGACTTTAAAAAGAAAGAAAAGAAAAATCCAAAGACATTTTGATCATTACTTCACTTCAAAACTCCACCACGTTTAAGCGTAAATCACTAGCATCAACTTTCCATTACCGATTTTTTCTTTTTTTTTTCTCAGTCCTTTTGATCTCTCTCTCTCTCTCTCAGCCTGTTCGCCTGCCCGTCGCGTTTTCCTCTGCTTCCTCTCTCCCTCCCTCTCCCTCGCTTCTTCAGTAAGTGAAAACCAAGTCGGAAAAGTTCGCTTCCAGCCAGTCGCCTGCGATCATCTCGCTCAGCTCCGGGGTGCAGTAATCGGGGAACTCAAAGTGAGAGCCCAAGCTGCCCTCGCTGAACGAATCCAAATCCTTGTCCACGAGGGAGAGGGACAGGTTGCCTGCCGCGGAGCTCACGCCCATCTCCGAGGCGGCGTGAGTGTGCTGGGAGAAATTCAAGCTCAAGTCAAACATCAGGTCGTCCGCCTCTTCGCTACTGCTGCTGGAAGAGGAGGAGGAGGTGGAGACGGACCGGGAGGAAGCCGGGGACAGGCTGGGCTGCTGGGCGCTCTTGGGCATACTCTTGAAGCCGTAGTAGAGTCTGCTGGCGCTGGCGCCATGCGGGGCGGCGGCCCCCCTCACCTCTTCGTACAGGCTGGCCCCTTCGGTGGACTCCGCCGACGAGCTCAAGGTGGGGCTGGCCGGGACTTTGGCTACGTTGTACCGCCTCAACTGCTGCTGCTGCTGCTGCTGTTGCTGCTGCTGGTGGTGGTCCTCCTCCTCGTCGTCGTCCTCCTCCTCCTGCTTGATCCGCAACTGCAGGTCGTCGTCGTCGTCGTCCTCCTCGTCGTCCTCGTCCATGAAGACGCATTTGATGGTCTTGCTGCTCACTTTCAGCGTCCCGAATTGGTGGTAATCCTCTCCCCCGAAGTCACCCGGGTGGGGGGCCAGCTTCGTCCCGGCCTTCGGGGGAGACGACGACGACGACGACGAGGAGGAGGAGGAGGAGGAGGTTTTCCCTTTGCTACATTTCTTACTGGAGCTTTTGGCGCTCTTGCCGCTGTTGCTGTTGCCGCTGCCGGTACTGGTGGGTGTGTTTTTCTCCGGGCTGTGGTTGGCGCTGGGTTTGGCGGACGGGTCTATTTTGGGCTTTTTCCTCGGCCGGTATTTGTAATCGGGATAATCGGCCATGTGTTTAAGGCGCAGTCTTTCGGCTTCCCGGATGAACGGGATCTTTTCGCTGTCCTTGAGCATTTTCCACCGTTTGCCCAGGCGCTTGGAGATCTCGGCGTTGTGCATGTCCGGCGACTGCTCCATGATTTTTCTGCGCTCGATCTTGGACCACACCATGAAGGCGTTCATCGGTCTCTTGATGTGCCCCGAGGCCGTTTTGCACCAATCCGGATCGCTCTCATCCAGCGCCACCGGACTGCACGCCATAAACTCCCCTTCTTCGGTATCCATCGCTTCTCTGGGCAGGTTGTTCTCCGACTCTGGACTTTCCGCTTGCTGGACCATGGTGGGAGGTACGATTTCTTTTGAGAGTTTCTTAGTAGTCTTTCGGGTCGATTATTATTATTTTTTAATGTATTTTTCCTCCACTTTGCACCCACCGACCGCTCGCCCACCTCGTTCGACTCAAGTGAACGGCTGCAAGGTGAAGCCCGGCGCGCAAGTTGCAAGCTCCTTCTTCTCCCCCCCCTCCTCCCCGGCCCTTTGCGTCTCTCAGTCTCTGCGCTCCTCTCCTGCCCCTCGGACGCCGCTGATTATCCGTCTAGCAGCGGCAGAAGCAGGACTCGCTCCGGCTCTTTCCCCTCCCCCTACAGCAGCAGCAGCAGCAGCAACAGCAGCCGCCGGGACCCAGAGATCTCGCTGGATCACGCTCCCCCTTCTGCAAAAGTTGCGGGTTCTCTCCGAACTAGTTATCAGGGTTTCATATGGGTGACATCACTCCTGCGGCCAGCCAATGGAAGAGCCGAGCTCCTCCCCTCGGCTCCGCCTCTCCGCCTTTATTAAGTTCCCCCACATGTATGCATACACACCCCCTTTGCAGCGGCTGTTGGAAGGCGTGGGGAGGGGGAGATGAAGTGGAAGTGGGAAGGGGGCTGGGCTTGGAGGTTCGTCTTAACAGTCGGAGAGGGAAGGGGGGGGGGAGACAGAAGCGAGGGAACGGTTGCTTGTGCTGGGATCAGGAGATCGCCCTCTCCTCCTTGGGCTTTCTTGATAGGAACGGGTCCTATTTCTTATTTACCAGAATCTGGGAAGACCGCGCAGGTGAATCTGCTGCGATTATTCCCACATTGCCTAATGTCACACTGGGTGAGCTTATTCTTGTAGGAACCCACTCGCATCCTCTGGGCATTGGCTTCTTCTGTGCACAGCAGCTGTAGGTGGCGCTTTAGTACCACCAGCTCATTGCGTTTCGTTTTGGTCAGATTCCTTCTGTACACTGAGACAGACAAACACACACCGAGATTTATGTGTATGTGTCCTCTGACTTGCAGATTATTTTATTTTCTCTCTACCCCCCCCCCCAAATCTTTCTTCCTCTCCCAGACCTCCCAACCTATCTGATCTCATGGCAGGACAATATTTTGAATTTCTTGCCTCTGTTTTTCCAAAAACCAGTAGCAGGAATATAATCTGACTCTTCTTGAGTGTGTTTCTCAGGGAATACTGGTCAGCTTCAAGAGATGGAGGGGGAAGGGAGCTTGAAAATTCATGTATGTCTGTCACATGTTATAATTCAGTTGTCCTTTAACCACATGTACTTTATCCATGTTTGTGTATTTTTACTAACTCTATTCAAATATAATTTTCAAAAGTTATTCGTTTTTTTAAATAAAAATTAAAAACAATCCAGAGTAAACCAGAGTACTGTATAATTTATATTGAATATTTCAAAGTACCTTTAGCTTATCTAAGCACTGATTTTAATCAGTTTTTAATCAGGTTATATTTTCTAAGTACATAAGGGTATGTAGGTGAGGCTGGCAGTGCCAACAAAAGGGTGCTTAGGTGTACTAGATCATTTGCTTTATCAGCACTTTTCTACAAGCTATTATTCTAGTAAACATGCTTAAAACTCTATCTTGTATATCATATATTTGTAATTAAAAGTAAAATGTACATGTATTTTAAATGTTTCCTATTTTGCATAAGTAGTGGCCCACCCATTCCTGCAAATAGTTTAAAAAAGATTTAAGGGTGTTTTAAGTATGGCAAGTGTAGATGTAGCTATAGGATTAGAATGTAATGACACTTTTGTAAATTAAACTATCTTAAGTCTTTTTGCACTAGTACATACATGCTTATCTGGGAGTTTACTAGCAACCAAATCAGTCCATCATCACAAAGTATCTAACTCCCAATGTGACAGCAACGTTAATGAGAGTGTTGTGGCATTAATTTGATGGCAACGTTTTGCAAAAAGTTGCACTTAAGAGCAAAAATCTTCAAAAGTGTAATAGGTTCAAGAAAATAAATAATATATGAACATGTAATACTTAATGTATTTTTGGAGCAAAATGAATATAACGATGCATGTCATTTATTAAATGTACTTTTGCTTATGGAGACTTCTTGCCAAAGCTAAAGCAGATAAAAAAGCACTTTGCTCAAAAATGCTGAATATGAGATTACATATGAAATATAGTATCTGTTCCAAAATAAGGTATACAAATCTTCAGACAGTAAAAATTGCTACATTGCATCGTGGCTAGCTTGCTGGTTTTCCTTGCAAGCACGAAGTCACCACAAAATGGCTTGCCTTATTGAGATGGAAGAGCTCATGTTGGAGAAACATCCTTTGAAACAGACCACTTGCAGACACCAGTATTCCTGAGTCAGCCTCAGTGACCCACCCTCTTCCCATCTGCTCTGCTCAAGATAGGGCAAATATTTAATTAGAACTCCTGCTCCATAGACTTAGGGAGGAAAGGATCATCTTCTGGCTCAATCTTTGTTCCAGAAAGAACTTTCAGGTTATTGCAATTGCTTATTTAAATATTTGAATGTAACCTTTGCTTACATTCATTTTGTACCCATTTTTCTTCTGATGTTCAACTAGAGTGCATAGGCAGTTTTCCCAGTTCCAAAAGTTGTGTTCTGATTAACATTCTATGCTGTGCCCTAATGTGGTTTATCTGACTCTGACTGGTTCCCCCAAATGTGTAAAATCAATCAGGTTTGGAATTATTTACAGCCAATGGTAGCTCAGTCAGTTAAATGTGATTAAACAAACCATGGCTTACAATACTAAGTGAACTAGGGTAGTATATGACTGACTGAACCAGCCCTCCTTGTTTGGAAACTAGATCCAATAGTCACAAACAACCCAATTTATATCTCCATTTTGATCAGATGGTATTATCCTTTTGTAAAATAGCACTAGCAATAGCATTTAGACTTATATACCACTTCATAGTGCTTTACAGCCCTCTCTAAGCGGTTTACAGAGTGAACATAATTGCCCCCAATAATCTGAGTCCTCATTTTACTGACCTTAGAAGGGTGGAAGGCTTGATCTGGTAAGAATCAAACTCCTGGCAGTCAGCAGAATTAGTCTGCAATACTACATTCTAACCCAGTGGTTCTCAACCTGTGGGTCGGGACCCCATTTGGGGTCGAACGACCATTTCACGGGGGTCGCCAAACAAGGTTGTCCACCATTTTTTCCCCCTTTTCTTTGGCCACGCCCCTGGCACCCGGTGATGTATAAGTGGTTGGGGGTCACCACAACATGGGGAACTGTATTATGGGGTCGCGGCATTAGAAAGGTTGAGAACCACTGTTCTAATCACTGTGCCACTATGGCTCTTGTTTGGACAATTTGTAAACAAATATAAAATGATCTAATATCATACTTCTTATCTAAGTTAGGATTTGTGCCAAATAAGTGGCGATCATGAGAATTTCACTTCTGCAACAGATTTAGTTTTGCAACTATTCTTGCTGTTTGTTTCAGTGTAAAATGTCAATTGCACTTTCAGAACAGGTAAAAAAAAATAGCGTTATGTTCTGTCAGATTTTCAATGGGTTGTAGATGAAAGCCAGCAAAATAGAATTAAATCAAAAGTTTTGTTACATGGTAGTGGGGTAATGATGGATACAATAAGTATAACATTCCCAATTGCTTTGTATTGTTTGAAGTCACCAATGTCTGCAGTTACATGTTTTCACCTAATGTGCTTTACCAAAGCAAAAACATGGCAATAAAATCGAACGTAGACCCACAAATAGCTGAGTATGCACTATTATATAATACTGGCAAGAGGTTAACATAACTGCCTGATATAGGTGACCAGAATGTTTTTCAAAGTTAGAAATATAATCATGTGATTCTGTCTTTCAACCTGTTACGCCAAGACTTTAGAAAATAGATAGGAAACTGTGAATTCTTTGCTGTGATAAATGTAGCCAATGAAACACTTTTGATGTTGTACAACATGAAAAAAAAATAGGATCCCATGGCAAGCAGTATTTAACAACCTACAAATTCCTTTGCTGGCATGTAAAAATGCATTACCAAAACTAAGAGTCAGTTTGGTGTAGTGCAGAGGTAGGAAACCTTGGCTCTTTTATGACTTGTGGACTTCAACTCCCAGAATTCCTGAGTCAGCATGGCTCAGCTTGGAAACCTCTCCCTTTCCCCTCAGCATGGCTGACTCAGGAATTCTGGGAGTTGAAGTCCACGAGTCATAAAAGAGCTAAAGTTGCCTACCCCTGGTGTAGTGGTTTAAGGCATCAGGAGACTATGAGTTTTAGTCCTTTAGGCACAAAGCCAGCTGGGTAACTCTCATCCCTACGAGGAAGACAATGGCAAAGCATTCTCAGAAATACTTGCCCAGAAAATTCCAGGGGCTTGTCCACGCAGTTGACAGGAGTCACGAACAACTTGAAGAGAAAGCAAATAAACAAACAAATAAATAAATAAATCAAAATCAGCTTTTGCTGGTTTATATATAGGCAAATATATAAATTCACATTCATAACTGGAGCTTTTAACTAAGTTTATCACTGAACCAGGGACCCGGTGGCGCAGCGGCTTAATGACACTGGAATTGCTGGCCAAAAATAGTCTGCACTCCGGTGGTTCATGTCCGGCTCTACAAGACTGGATGAAGTTCCTCCACTCACTCTTTGGCTTCTGCTCAGCCAGCAGTTCAAAAGTATGCAATATTGCAAGTAGATTAATGGGTACCACTTCCGCAGGGATAACCTAGCTGTGTTTGTTGTGTGTGGAGAGTGGAAGCCGGCACTGGACATGGCTGGACACGAGACAACACAACATGAGGCAAGGTGAGACCGGCGGAAGAGCCAGCAACCCGAGAGCCACTAATCAGCTGATGTAAGCTAGTTTACCCCTGCAGTGCACCAATGATAGGTGCACAAGTGCTGAACAGATTTGACTAGCAATTTAGGCTGTCAGGACTGCATTGTATCTAGCATTTGTAGATCTCCCTGACATTCCCTGACAATCACTGAACCTTTGGCAACGTTTGCATACATTTGCAAAATAAAATGAACACCATCAAATACTTTTTTTAAATTCTACACTGGTAAGTTTTGGAACATTGGTAGTAACCTAGTAAAGCAAAACTTTTAACACATGCAGAGTGAAATCAGGAATATACTCAGTGGGTGTTCCTCGAAAATGCTGAACATTGGTGAAGCCACAAATGAATGAACTATAAACCAACTTGCCAACTAATATGTTATTATTATCACTAATAATATGCTTTATTAATTAATTTTATGCATTGACTGTAGGTATCAGGTCATTGTTGGAAACCATCATTTACGCAAAATTCTAATTGATAGGATTGGGAAAATTCAACTTTCAGTGATAGCTTTAGTGCCATTCTTGTGTATTGACCATATCAAACTCTGGAATGTGCTTATGAAAATCCCAGAAGATTTCATTGACCTCAAGCAAAATCTATACTAAGGTCAGGAAGCCACAGTCTGGATAGAATATTGTTTAAATAGACTGACTCCAGATTGGCAAAAGAGTAATGACTGAATGCTCTCTCCTTATTTATTTTACGAATGTATTCTTTAGATCAG